CTACAAGGGCATGTGGCCCTTTAGCAACTGCTAGTTGCCAAAACTCCCCAGCTGTAAGAGATGGGGCACTAGATGGGAAGGGCTTTGATTTACTACAGATAATTGTTTCTCAGGTATCTGCCTGGTTGGCCTTGCCTTCCTGCGTAGAGTCTAATTCAGGGGTCTGCAGCCTTTCAAAGAAGAAACTCTGGGAGGTGGCTCAAGGCAGGGGGTTGGGAGAGGTGCAGGGGGTCAGGGCAGGTGCTTGGGGTACAGTAGGTGTATGGTATTCTGGCTCTGGAAAAAGGGTTAAGGTGTAGCCTTTTGCTGAGCTTACCTTACCACATGTGTCTCCTGGTTGATGGTACTGTGGGGCTAAGGCCCATTGCTCCTCATGGGTTGTTGGTAAAGCTTCTCCTTAGGGAGGCAGTGGATTCCTAGCCCAGGCCCTATCCCCTTCCCACTGTCTCCCTCCTCTCTTCCATGCACATCCTGTGTCCTTGCTCACTGCATGCTTGTCCCCTTCCAGGCAAATCCCTGAACCCAAGCAAATTATTTTTTTGGGAAAAAAACCCTCCACTTTTATGTAGTTTCTTTCTCAACAAAATGGAGCATGTTTTGTACCATGTGCCAGATATGCGAAAGATACCTAACAACACTAAATTTGGGAATAAGAAATGTGAGTCACAGGTTTATTAGATACCCTCATAACCAGGGCTCACCGAGCCCTGGTGAGCCCCGCTCGCCAGCTGCGCTGTCCAGCGATCTGCGCATGCGCATATCGTTCTGCGCATGCGCAGATCTCCCGAACCCGGCTCTTCTGGGTTACAGTCTACTCGCCACAAGCGAGTAGATTGTGTTATTTATCGAGCTCTGCTCATAACTGACATTCAGGTTGCTTGCAAATGCCCCAAACTCCTCTCATTGATCCTGGGGAGCACAGAATGCCAAGCACCAGTTAAAGCTAATTGAGAAATCTCTGTCCTTTCTTCACACAACCAAACGAGGTATCAGGCCTCATCCTCAGCTGGCATTTGCCCCCTGAGAGGAAGAAGATGACTAGAATCAGATTGCAAAAGTTGCCACCTCATTTTCACTTCTTCACACAAACAAGATGGGGCTTCCTATGTTGTTTGTTTCAACAGCAGTAAGCACCTCAGACATTGAATAAGAATTGCCAAAGGACATGCCAATAAAATACAGGCTGGCTGCTGCTTTAACCCATTCAGCTCACAGAACCAGGAAGGTAAAATGTCCCACTGAGGCAGCATGATGGTGCCAGCTTTGTGTGTCAGAGTGGTAGACCCACTACCCCCAGGGGTGAAGGAACCAAATCCCCAACCCTCTTTTTACCAGGCAAACAAAATCTCCCAACCGCTGAAAAGAGTTGAGACTGAAAAGAGTGGAGACCTATTCTACCAATAACTTCTCTCTTCCTTGACACCACTAGGGTTGCCAGATGGTTTCAACAAAAATACCAGACACACTTGACATTGCATCGTAGTGGTTTCAACAAATTATTTAGAAATTACCGGGCATTTATATTTTCTCATTTATATATTCTCAATTTGTTTCCCAAACAAAGCTCAAATACTGGACTGTCCAGTTCAAAACCGGACATCTGGCAACCCTAGCCACCATGTCCCTCCTCCCTCTGCTCCCCTTTCTTCCCTTCACCGCCCTCTTTTCCCAGGCTCCTCCTGCTCAAGATCACTGCCCTTCCCAACCCAGAACTTCTCCTGCCTTGATCATCACAGAATTTGAACAAGTTAAAAAAAAAAAAAAAAAAAAAAGGGCCTTGGCTCAGGTCACTGCTAACTTGTGGGGGAAGCTCTGAAGGTCTCCTCTGGCTCAGCTGGAGGGGGATTCATTCCTCTTGGCCATTTATTGTTCTGCCCCGTTCCACTTAGCAGGCCAGCACAAGCTATCTGCTGCCACAAATGATCCAGCCCTCCCTGCAGCACACACACTGCATAAGGCTGGCCAGCCTATCTGCATCTTTGACTAGTCCTTTGAAAAGTGATGATGAGGGGGGGCCCCTGCCTCTTCTAGCAAATTGCTCCAGTGTGTCACAGTTGGAGGAGGAGTCCCATAAAGTCCCAAACTGAAATTCTCCTGTAATCCAGGAACGGTGGCTACTGCATGAATAATGCAGAAAGATTTTGAAATTGTAAAAAAAATACGTTGCAAAATTGCAGTTCTCAGCACTTTCCATCTGATGACATCAAAACACCTAATTAAAACCAATTAATTTACACAATCTCCTATAAGGCAGGCAAGTATTATTATTATTATATCTTTTTTTGGATGGAGAAACTGAGGCACAGGATAATTATGTTCCTTATCCACTGTTTTTTTTTTTAAATCAGTGGAAAAACTCCCCTTGAGATCAAGCCTTAATTGATTGCCGTATTTGGCTTTGGGAAGGAATTTTCCCCCATGTCAGATTGGCAGAGACCAGAAGGTCAGACTGAATGATCACGATGGTTCCTTCTGACCTTGAAGTATGAGTCTGTTTATATAATTCAATCTGTTTCTTACAGAAATGCCTGTACAGAATACTTAATGTTGTGAATATCATTTTGTAACTTTTTTACTATCTGTAGTTCACATTAAAGGTTATAAATTTTGTTCTGTTTCTAAACTCTGGTACAAATCATAAACATTATTTTCAGTCTTGTAAATATTCCTTTAAACTATTGCCAGATTTTCAAGATTTTGGTACAAAATGCATAGTTGAATATTACTGAAGTGCCAGCAGAATATATTTAGCACTTCAAAGATGATAAACTGAAATGTCCCATACAGTAACACTATGTTGGGTTCATATTTCAAAGTGCTAAGTGTGGGGAGTGTATGGTGTGGAGTTGTAGTTTGTATATTGATACCTGATTCATAAACTTTTTGTTGATATCTTACATACTTAAAATCTGTTCTCAGTATTCATTTTATATTGTTTGCACCAACTGGAGTTATAACGTGACACGTATATTGTGGGATAGATACTTTTTACCTCTGTTGTCTGACCAAGCCATTCTGACTGTAGCTAGGCTATGGAAGCACACCTTCAGTATATCTTTTGTGAGACTTAGATTTTATTTACTGCTTCTAGGATGGACTATGTGGAATTCCCAAGATCTCAAGCGTCTTCTGAATTTCTCTTGCATCTTGATTCAGTATTTAAAAGCAAACGTGTTAGTATCTAGTCTTTAATCTATGTGCATGCAGACTGACTTGCGAGAGAAGAGAAATCAGAAAACTGACCTCATGGCCTGTTAGGTTGCCTCTCTTATTTGCTTGTCAATTCTCGTGTACCACTTTCTTCAGTGAGTTATAGCCATCTTCTGGCTTGGAAGGATGAAAGACAGATGTTGATTATTTACATACATGTGAGATGCTCAAATAATCCAGCGGCACTAGATCACTTAAGTAAGTATCTCCAATATCCAGGCTTCCTAATAGGTTTTGGACTCTTTTTAATTGAAAATGTGACTCCTTCCATCCTGACATTGAGTAATTATGTTCATGAAGCAGTGCTTATACAGGTATACTTTCTTGGGCAGCAAAATAAGTCACTTTTGCCCACCTCAGTCCCTTAAATTAAATCTGAACCCATAATTAAGATTTTTCTATTGTCCATTTTGTTCTAAAAGTGATTGCCCCCACAGCCATAGAAAGCCTATAGAATGAAACTATTTATTTTTTGTGGGAAAATAAATAGTGTATATTCAAATTCTGTTGCATACATCTCTTTCCCCTGCATAATGGAT